TCCGAAAAGGTGATTTAACTGCCGCTGTCTTTCTGCTTGTTTTAATTAATAGCATTATCTTCCCCTTATTTCTCCTGGGGCTTTGTAGTGCTCTTTGAAATGTATTTAGTATTTTTCAGTCTTGGTTTTGGGTACTCTCTCAATTTATGAGGTCACTGAATTCAACTTCAACATTTCAGCACAAATCGGCAGAATGAAACGCTAAAAGAAGATTGGCACTTTCAATCACATAAGTCTCATGTTACATAAAATGAGCAAATTCCTCCATTGTTTTTATTCACCTCTGAGATAACAATTTACTGCTGGTACAAACCAGTGTGGGCAGGCTTCTCTGCTTAGCAGGCTCCCACAGGAGTAAAGCTTTGCATCTTCTCCTCAACAGAACTGAAGATAAACAAAAAATAAAAGCGGGGAGGGGGAAAGACCAGATATCAGGATCATCTTGGGATGACTTTGTCAGAGCAAGTCCAATACTCTAATTCCAGAGATGGAATCAAGAGCAAGGTTTTTCCTTCTCTAAATGACACTAGAAATACAAGAAAATCAAAAGTAAGCAGCTGGAGCCTCACATTCCCAATAAAGTAGGAAGGAAAACAGAGGAGACTGTCTCAGGCAAGAGTAAAGGTCGTAGCATCTCACCACTTGCAGCAGGGTGCAGAAGCCTGGGGAATTCAGGCATCTGGGAGGGACTTGAGTGTGCTTCACCAGTAGATCCCAGGGCTCTGAGGAGCATCTGGATGCCAACATATCTCAAGTCTGGGAGCTGAGGCGGCTGGTGATCCTAGCTTTTATCTATCACAGCCACACATTCATGAGTGTTCGCATATTAATAACTCACCAACCCTTCCAAATTATATGGCTAACCACCAATTCCACTTTAATACTTGAGTATTAAACACTTTTTCTTAATCGAAATTTGCGCAATCATCAAAATGAATCAGTTTGCTTTTATTTTAAGGCCCTTGGGCTTTAACAGATTTAGTGGAGAGTCTACTAACAAAGGGTGAAAAATCTCATTATATCTGTTTGGAGGACAAAGCCTCTAAAGGGAACTGTCTTAGGGACTCCTACAAATATACACAGTGATGAGGGAGGCTTGATTTAAAAGCAATGAGGCTGTGAGTTCAAACACTCACCACTGTTGAGAACATATTTAAAATACTTTAGTCAACACGATCCTCTCTTCCTTCCTTCTGAAACCCCACACCATTTTACCTGGCCTTTCTTACTGCATTTTCACTTATATAGAATGTCTTACAGTCTAACTTTATAGAGCTTTTTATGTATATGAACCATCTTCCTTCAAGATTGTTAAATTTCCTGACAGCAGAATCTACATCTAAGATATCTCTTTTTCACCTACAGCGTAGAAAGAACATAAAAACAACATAATAAACACTCATCGTTAGTTGAATAAGCTCAGAAAATGTTGACAAGTGTCTTAATGTACAAAAGTCCCCGGAAAATTGAAAGGTAAAAAGATGATTTCTTGTTGCTAAATTGGACATTTTAAAATGCCACATGTTTTGAAATGTAAAATATTATACAATGCCATGACTTTTTAAAATCCTATGTTAACTGCTACAGGGACTTAGAAGAGAGAACGAAATCAGGAAACCAAACCAGGACAGAGATTAGTAGAGCGATAATAAATTGCCTCCCTTCCCAAACATAAAAACGCACATGCACAAAGAAATAACTAAGCTGGGAAATATTTGTTAAAAAAAAAAAAAAAACTCTACTCAGATATAAAAATATGGGTAGTTCAAAGCTTTTTTTAAAAAAAAATATATTTTTGACTGTTGTATATTGATATGGCTGCAGTTAGTCAGCCATAATCTTTAGAACCAAGCTCATTACCAAGAAAAATATGGGTAGTTCAAAGCTTTTTTTAAAAAAAAAAATATTTTTGACTGTTGTATATTGATATGGCTGCAGTTAGTCAGCCATAATCTTTAGAACCAAGCTTATTACCAAG